TTAATAATGCATACTACTTAGGGATTTTTTTTATTTTTAGGATGGTATTACAAAAGTGAAATTCAGGCATAGATAATATCTTCAGTTGAATTTATTCAGTTCCCATTTGCTCAAAAGCCCTTAATTTTTTTCATTAATGGTCTTTAAAAGTACTTAATTTCCGTGTGCAGAAATGTGTACCAACCCTGATAGAACTGTGCTCCTATTCAATATTACCTATAAATAAATAGCTACTGGGAAAAGTAATTTTACAAAGCAGAAATTAACGGAAAATTATTTGAGATTGCCAGTGTCAGAAGAGCATATTACTGAATTGTCAATGATTTCAATAGAAAATAATATGGATATTTCAGATAAAGATCTATTTAAAAATTTTGTAGCAGCTAAAACTAGAAGAACAGAAGTATAATGAATGGCATGCCATTATGTGTACGTAGGCTTAAACTTTTATTTAATATGCTAAATAAACAGAAATTTCTTGAAATAGATTACATTTTAATTTTCAAATTATATTTTATGCTGGCACTGAAATGCAACCTTGCACAAGTCTCCCTTGTACTCACAGGGCAATCATGGCAGTAAGCAAAAATATTCAAGGCTTTTATATACTGCAGTGTCAGTTTTAACTATTCCTTGCTGTTATACATGAACATGAACAGGTATTCAATCAAGTGAATAAAGTAAGGACAATTTAGATAATCTCTTCTAAATGTAGCTCTAGGAAAATTATTAATTATTAAGTGTTGAAAAAAAAAGAAAATACCATGAAGAAGCTTTTGATAACATATTCTTAAAAAAATTATGGCAGCAACATTTTTGTTTCTTACTACGATTTCCAGCATGACTTTTATTAATAATTTTTATTAGATCTAAATTGTTTTAACCTACTATAAATATTTGTGAAAATTTTTATGTAAATTCAGCTAGTGTTTAATTAATTATTATTTGTATTTAATTCTGTATTCATCAGTAAATGGTACATTACTAAGTTTATCCACACAAATGTATGTACATTAATTATTAATTTTATTTTTATCACATTTAAAAGTTCTTGGATAAGTAATAGCTCTTGTTTCTTACTTAAGATTTTATCAGTAAAAATGCATAAAAATCCTTCTAAAATGGAATTTAGACTATTTAATTAAATTTTTATAAATCTGTAGCAATATTATATTATAACTCAGTGGCTAGAATTTCATTGTAAGGTAAAGTTAAGTCAACTGATGATTTTGAAATCATGCCGCGTAACATCTGTTTTTCATATTTCAAGACTGGCAGCTATATTATGTAAATGAGGTTCTGCATTCTCAAGTGCATCCACCTGCTTAGAGATGATGCAAGCTGATATTGTTGGTTCATGGATGACTGTGCTGAACATCATTAGGTATTGTCCAAATGGCTTGCCCATCACATTCAATTGACGTCATTTCTAATAAATATGTTTGTAATGTACTAAGTTAGCAGATTACGGTACATCAGCTCCCTCTTTAGAATCTTCTATATCTCGATATTCCAGAGAAGTTGACTTTAATTAATTGTATGAAAAGAAGTTCTGAAGTATGCATGTCTGCTAAAAGAGTCATATACCCCATAAAATAGTTATATTTTAAGTATGTTTGGTAGCAGCAACATTATTAACATTATTCATCTTGTAAACAAGGTAATATGCCTGTATAAATTTTGGTCTACAATTTTTGAAATATTCTGTTACTGAGTAAAAAAAAATTTAGTCCTTTTTAGGAATTATCATTAAATTATTTTCTAATTTTGAACACCAGTCTATTTACAGTTGATAGATTGTGCAGTTGATTAAAGTTCCATTTCCAAAATGCTGTTAAGTAAGATCCACTGATTGTAATAACCTGAACGTATGCGAAGCAATGAAATTTTATTCAGCAAAGGGTAAAAAAGTACTTTCAAAATGCACGATAGAGGGAACTGTGTTTTACAAACAAGGGAGTTTTGCTTGCTAAAAGGGAAAAGTTTAGCTGCTAGCAATTAATTTGCACACCACCACACATTAAATTACTCTGTTATTCTGCATGTAAGTTCATTTTCATGACGGTCCCTGAAGAATCTTTGTCTGTTACTGAAGATTATCACACTGGGTGATTGCTGTTAGAAAATTCTGTATGAAAAGTTCAAGTTCTGATCTAGTGTTTGCAAATTACCTTTGGAAGATGATTTTAAAATCTGAAGAGAACCAGTTCATTAGGCCTGGAATTTGCTAGAGTTAGGAAAGCAATTGCTTCGATGTCATTAGGCTAAAGCATTGCAGGAAATGAGCAGTGATGTAGGAAGGCATAGTGCACTGGGACTTGCAATGTTATCCATGCAAAATTACCTGTGTTCATGATTTACTTTCAGTTGACTTGCCACAGCAAGAAGCTTTCACTCTATAATTTCGTGTTCAGATAGAAATGGAGAGTGGATGAGCATGTAACATTTTATGGACAGGCAAAGTCCATGTCCATCTATTAAGTATTCTCATTATGCAAAATTACAGAATATGGGTGAATTAATATCTGTTCTCTGTGCAACCTTGCTTTTTCATTCTGGATCTGTGCAGTGTGAGTTTCTGGCAGTGTTATTTGTGACCATTCTTTAACCTATTCTATTCTTATTCTTTCATTAAACCATTCTTTTCAAGGAGATATGTCCAGTAGGCCTGTTACATGTTCCATCACTGTATGATTTTTTTTTTTTTTTTTTTTTTTTTTTTTTTTTTTACTGCATCCATTCTGGCACTTTAGTAACTTTAGTATAAGTGTGAGGATAGCACAATTTTTAAGCAAGACGGTGCTTCTCTGCACATTGCAGTACCAGTGAAGTAGCTTCTGAACACATTTTGCAGACAACAGGATTATCAACCATCGTTTTCGGTCACCATGTTTGCCTTACCTTTACCCTTATGATTTCTGTCTTTAGGGATAGCTAAAACGTTGTGTGCAGTAGTCAGACAGTAAACTTAGCTCACTCGAAAGCATGCATTATGCATCATATTCACATCATCACTACCGATACATTAAGATCTATTGTGGGATATGTTATTTTGTGATTTAAATTTGTTCCAGAATATATTGAGCATTCCTTTGCATCAGTCATACATGCTTGTTTTGGGACTTCCTTATCATCATATTTCATTAATTCTTCAATTATGTATTGTCAATTTAATTGTTATTTTCCCCTAGCTAACCATTGTTTTTCTTTGGTGAAGAACATTTCCATGTTTGAGGAGTACAGCAAGATCTGCTGATACATTTTGGAAGTTTTCTTTCACAAACAAACAAACAACAAAAAAAATAAATAAATAAAATAATAATAATAAATAAATAAATAAATAAAACGAAATAAATAAATAAAATAAAACAAAGCAAAACAAAAGTTAATGTCTTCTCCTGCATTCAGGTGAAATTTTAGATCATTCTAACCAATGGTTCTTACTTTACAGCCTTTTGAAATTGCAATAATTATAATTACCCTGTAGTTATCTTAAAATATTGGCATCAAATATGTTGAATAAATGCAGTGTAATTCATATAATCTGTGAGTGCCTGTAATACGTACATATTTTTGGACGCAAACAAACAATTTTACTGTGGCATGAATTAATTAATTTATCAGCAGGTGTTATTGTGCACATGCACAGATAATTTTTAACAAAAATGAACTTTAACAGTATAATTTTTTTTCTAAAAAAAAGGTAGGTAAATTTTATTAATAATGTTATTTAGCTTTTTCTTCATGTGTAGAAAATTAAAATTACATGAATGGATTGGATTTATATTATTTTACACAGATTGGATAATGAATTCCTGCAAAATTTTACCAACAGGATATTTCAAACCAATGTATTTTATTTAAATTTGCTTCAATTTAAGAACATAAAAAAATATTTTGGAAATAATTTTGCTAGTGGGTGTGCAGTTTTATTTATGTTAAATGTTTCCATTCATTATAAAATAGTTTGTTCAATCTTACAAAATTCTCTTGTCATATACAGTGGAACCTCGAGATATGAGCACCTCTATATACGAGAAATTCGAGATGCGAGGAAAATATCAGTGGAAAATTCATCTCTAAATATGAGCACTGACAAGCAACGAGCCAGGCTGTTGGTAAGCGTGGCGCATTTCCCGATCCAGCTCGGGCAATTCTCTCGTCAGATCACTTAGTGTTTTTAAATCTACGTGTTTGTGCACTTTTGCATTAATTGTTTTTTACATTTAATGTGAACATGCTTATTTCATGATGCATTGAAGAAGATTGTTGCCTCAGATAGTGCTGAAAAGAAAAAGTAGGAAGCCATAGCAATTAAAATTAAGAAACAAATCATAGATAAACATATGCGTGGTGTAAGAGTGATGGAATTGGTGAAAACTTACAACCGTTCGACATCGATGATCTGCACTATTCTGAAGAAGAAATTAAGAAACTTGATGTGGCCAAAGTTACCATCCAAGCACCATCTGAAACTCCTAGAAACTGTTATTCGTGTGGATTGATGAGAAGTAGTTAAAAGGTGATTCAGTGTTGGAGGCTATCATTTGTGCTAAGGTTAAAAATCTGTACTTGGACCTTCTCCTTGCTGAAAGAATTTCAGTTCATAAAAGTCAAGTTTCTTCCTCCCAACAACACTCCACTTCTCCAACCAGCAAAATATTTCCAACTTTAAGAAGCTACACATGAAGGCCTTATTTCAAAGTGATTGAAAATACAAGCCTGACCCTCAGAGAATTTTGCTCAGCTTTTCTACCTTTTGATAATACAGTTTGTAAGTGTTGTGAGCTAACAAACGTAGCAGTCTAAATTTACTGGCACATATATAATTCCCGTACAGGTTGATTCCACCCCTCCTTTTCTGTGGTTTAGCAACAGCCAGGTTCCCAAGGTTTTCATATATAAGAGGTGTTTTTAATTTTGCTTATCTCTTGATAGAATTTTTCTGTATGTCTGTGAGTCAGATTAGATTAAGTTTTTATTTGTTTGTTTATTTTTAGAATCAGAACTGGAAACTCTGAAGGCTGAAGTCAATGAAAAAGAAAAGGTCTATGAAGTGCAAGGATATGATGGGAGAATGCAGTTGAACTATTTCGAATCACAGAAAAAGGAATTAGTAGAAAAGCTACAAAATAAAAATAAAATTTTAAAAGAACTTCAAAATAAATGTTGGGAATTAGAGATGCAGCACACACAAGGATTTGACAAGGTTTGATTTGAAAGTTCTTGTATATTTATTATACGGTATAATGAAAGGAATATATTTTTAACTACACTCTGAAAAGCCGGGAAATAAAAATAGAAACATAGATTAAAGTTTTAATATGCAGTTACATCCATACCCTTCTATCCAATGATTCAATATTTGAAGATTTATTTTACTTGTGTCCCTTTCCTTTTCAACTTCATTTTCGTAGAAGTTAAGATGCAGAAAGCAAGAACAGGCTGTAGTGTGGTAAAATACGGCAGCTGAAATGCGCAATTAAAGATTATTTCACAGTTGATGCAGTGCCATGATATAAATATGATTTTTATTGTGTTTCCATTTTTTTTTTAAACTGTATGAAAAAGTAATGCAAATAGAGTATTTTTCATTGTTTTGTTATCTAAGGAAAAAGCCAGAAGGACAGATTCCAAACTTTTGTACATGGAAGAGGAAAAGACTAAATTATCATTGCAATGAATGCTACACTTTACAGTTACTACTTGTTTCTGTGTCGTAAACGGGAAATTTTTAGCAAATTCTGAAATTTGATGAGTCAACTTATATACAAGTTCAAAATAATAAAAAAATAATTCAACTATAGAAAATGCTATTATAGGTTAAATATTTGAAAAGTATTATTTTTAAAAAATCATCCTAATAAACATTATTTAAAACTCTTAATATTGGTATCCAACTCATAAGTTTCTAGAAATACTGGAAAGTCTTTTCTAACTGATCTAAGTACATGGCATTGTCCTCCGTTTTATCATTAACATTGGTGTCAAGTGCCTTATAGATAACACCATCTTCATTTCCATCCATAGTATTACTCAGCGAAAGTGTTGATTTTAAGTTTAAAAAATAGCAGAATATGCAGTCCCCACTTTTTTGTCTGAGCATATTTTACTAAACAGCAGTAATGAAGAATTGCACGACTCATAAAAGTACTATAACTAAAGGGAAGAATCTTGATTGATTGAGAATGTTTACCACAACTGATAACCAAAGTAAAATTCGCTGTCTTTTTACCAAAGCGCCAAATGATGTGCATGCGTAAAAGTCGGAAGAATTGAGAAGGAGAAACTGTTGGGAGCAGAGTGTCCTTTCATTCTACAGTACTGCTAACTTTATTTTTTAAACGGGGTTTGTATGGTCCTTAAAAGTCATTAGGGTTTTGTTGTGATAAATGTTTTAGTAAAAAAAAAACAGCTTTGAGAAAATGCTAGTATATATATATAATAATTGAATTAAATTATTACTACTAGAACAAAATTTAGAAAGTTAATAAAGTTTTTGAGAAACTAAATTGTATTGAGGGAAAAAATATTAACTGCTTAAAGCTTACAGCAAAAACTTTTTGTAAGCAAAATTGCAAGTAAGCATATTAAAATTAAAATAAACAAGTAAATTTATTGTCAATTAAATGATATTTGATCGACTCTTCAGGGAGTTTAAATATTATTCCATTAGTCAACAATTAAGGAATTCCAAAATATATATTACTTTCCATCTTGATGATTTGAAAGCCCTCTTTTCCTAAATTAATAATGAATGTTATTCCAAAAATCAAGAAATAACACTCCTTTACATTTTAGGAATTCGACAATTGCATTTTATAAATTGTGTAAATGAAACTTTTATATAGAACATCAGTAACGTATTTGCTGTGGTTTTGTCTCCAGTCTGACTAGCCAAAACATTATGACCATCCCCACATTTTTCAGTGAGCTTGTCTGGATGACGTGGAGGGCATGTGATTAAGTGGGAATGGTATGGAACTGCTGCTGGAAAAGATAAGGAGTCATTCTTGCACTTACTTTTGCAAGTGATACAAAAGGCTGCTGATCTAAGAATCGGAGAATAAGGCTCGAATTTTATTGGAGTGGTTCGAGGATCTAACTCAATAGAGTACATTTATGATGTAGTTGAGCAGCAGCTCAGAGCTCAAACATCATATTGGAATATCTTGACTTTGTGTGACCTCTGCTTAGACATTTAGTACAACCTGTCTGCAGTCATCTACCAAGAATTTGTGGCATCCATGCCAAGGTGAGTTGCAGCTGTTTTGCAGACCAAAGGTTGTGCAACACGTTATTGAGTAAGTGGTCATAATGTTTTGGCTCTTCAAAGTATATGTGTGTGTGTGTGTATATATATATATATAAACCTCTACAATTACATTAAAATATAGCATCGATATTCTTTAATCCTATTTTCCATTCTATATTTATTGGAAGTTGGTTAAAAAGTGATTTTTGTGAAACAGATTACTTTATTATTAATTATAGCAATTAGTTAGAGTTAATATATTGCATATATATGGGGGTGCATAATGAATGCTATAATTTAAATAATGAATAACACTTTTTCAAAAATTATTTATTTTAATCTTACCTAATTTTATCTGTTCTTAATGTTAAACATAATTCAAGATAATATGTTTACATTGTGTTTTAAAAAGTAACAGCTGGCAAATGATGACCATTGTCAACTTCAATTTTGTATGAAGCTGTTACATAGTTGGTTGTTATTTTCGTACACCTTTCTCTTTAAGTAGTCCCAGAGAAAAGTATCTACAGCCATGAAATCTGGTGATCACAATGATCAATATCTTAAAAATATGATTGCCAAAAATTCTTCTCAAAAGAATGTTATTCACCATTGTTTTTCACTGAAAATATTAAACCAGTTGGTCAATTTTGGAAACACTAAACATATTGCAAACATTAAAGAAACCATTCTATGTTCATCATGTTGATTATAGAGTGTTGATTTTCAACATAAAATGGAACAGTTTCTATCCTTTTGTATCCTTTCCATCATAAAATTTCTAAGTGCTGACTACACAAACGTTTAAAAAAAAAAATTACCATTTAAATGATGAAGCTAATTATGCACCACCCTACGTAATGCAAGTTTCATATTCCTTACATTTAATAGAAATTTTATTTTTTCCTTTTAGACCTCAGAACTTTGTGAAAAATTTAATAACTTATATGATCAAAATCTGCAAATGGTAAAAACGGCTCTGGCTCCATTAAAGAATGTAAAACATCCACAAGCAAAAGCATTATATGAGACTGCTGGTTTTCAGTTACCTAACTGTAAAATGCTGCCTGGTCAGTATCACTCTTCGCAAAAACTTCAGATGAAGACTTTGCTTGAAGCTAAAGAAAAGCTTGCCAATTTTAATATGATATGCAAAACGTTATCATCAAACATAAGTCAACGACTTAATGAAGTAAAGTATATATTCCTTTCTTTTATTGAAAGATAATCATATCTTATCTTAGATCTTAGACAATTAATAGTTACTATGAGAATTTGCATTTTACTATGAGTATTTTGTATCAAACTGTTACTCTTTAACTTTTGCAGATCTTGATGATAAAATCTGGTTTGTCAGCAAGTTTGAAAGTAGCATCTACAGAAGAAAACCAAACAGTGCGGGAATATAGTAATGAACAAAAAGTAATTATAGTTACTGATGATGTTTGTGTTAATTTCCAAGATTTACCTGTGACCAAATTAATCTATTAAATAAACTTTTTATTGAAACTACCTTTTTAACAGGAGACAAAATTCAATCATATTTTACAACCCGTTATTTCAGCAGGATTTTATTTTGTCTCATTGCTGTTTCTATATGTATTTTGCACTCTGTACTTTAAAATATATTGAACAAATTTTCTATTAGATTTAATGCTAAAAACTATGTGAATTTTGCTTTTTAGAAATAATAAAACATCTTCTTAAATGTAGTATTTCCTGGATTTCAGTATTTTTATCTTTATAAAATATAATATTTAGAAAAGCAAATAACAGTTGTACAGTAATTTGTATTTTTTACTAACATATGCTGGAAAAGTAAGTTATTTTTCTTAGCATAAGTGTGTGAACACTTTTATGAATGAATTGTGTGAATTTCCCCCCCCCCCCCCCCCCCCCCCCTGTGTTTTTATGTTTCTAGATTAATATTTTCTGGCCATTTCTCATTTTCGTTACAATTTTATTGCCATTCTAATGTAATGTAAAATGAAATTTCTTAATTTAATTTGTAAAATTTTTTTTGTTATTTAGTAGAACTGATTATACACATCTGACGTTTAACTTGTTTTTATGCAGTAATTAAGAAAAAATATTTTTTAAATAATTATAAAAGGAAAACCAAACAGTATTAACTATATTTTAATTAACTATATTTTAATTTCACATTCATTACTAGCCATTAACTTTGTCACCTATGAAAGAAAGCTGTTAGAAAAATCATATTTATTTTATAACTGTATTCTGTATAAAGCAAATATATATTTTCAATTTTAAATTAAAAACTTCATATTCAGTTCTAACAAGTAGTTCACCAGATTTAAAATATTTAGGAACTAATTCTACCAAACTGGTATTAATTGTTAGTATCTTACTCCTGCCTTTATTCTTAACTGCATATGGGACTTATTCTCTTGAGGTTTATCAATGGTGACTGCTAATAGCTGAAGACTGATAGTTGACCCAAGGTTGATTCTTAATGAAAGAGCTGGCTGCATAAGCATTTTCGTGGTTTTCATGTAAAATGTGCATATAACCATTTTCCCTTAATTTTTGTGGAAGATAGCTCTCCTGTAAGGCAAATAATCCTCACATGGTTTGCCTTAATCAATTAATGACTTGTCTGTGTAATTTACAGTGGAGATAAGGGAAAATTATTTGATAACTTTACACAATAAGAAGAGATAAGAAACTCACTATTATTAGATAATTTTTGTTATACTGTTTCAGAGAAGAAAAGTAAGAAAAATAAATGCAGCTTAAAAACCATTATGCTCTTTCAGTTTTTAAAAAGGAAATTAACATTCCTGAGTTGTAATTCTAACCAAATCAAGTCTGGCTGAAATCATTATATCCACTTTGCATGCATTTACCTATATGGAAAATTTTAAACCATGTTTCAAATTTTGCATCTTTATCATATACTTTCCCTTTTTAAATTCATAACTATAACTATTTTATTTTTATCTTTGTAGCAAGCTTTAGAAGAAATTGCAGTCCTTCAAGCTCAATTGGATGAGCTTGTTAAAATGTCTGAGCAACTTCAGTTGGAGAAGATGGAGACAGAAAAGTTATGTCGAGATTCTGAAAAAGAATTCATAGATCTGAAAGCCTTGTAAATATATTTATACATCTATTCATAATTCACATAATTATACTTAACCATAATTTATGTTCTTATGTGTAAATTCTTATAGCTATATTTAACTGTAAATGTTTTTGTTTGTAAGTTCCTTTTATAGTAGAAATATGAGTTCCTGTTCAGTTTTAGACCATTTCTTATTAAATGTAACTTATATTTTAAATAGTTTTATCTTAAATTTTATTCTATGGTTTCTGTAATAAATTAACACATTGCAGGCCATGCATTTATCGAAGTGCTGTTACGCTGCCACCGGTTCACACAGGTTCTACTGCTCGCCAACGATGATATTTACGCAATTTTTCAAAACATAAGTAGTTGGTATATAATTATTATTAAAGAAAGCACTAAAATAACTGTTACACTATTTTTATTCCAATTATATTTTTTAATTAGTACTAAAATGTTTTATTTAAAAAATTTAACTCCTAGGATCCATAGTTCTTTTTAGTATGATAATTCTGAAAACATTTTCCAACATGCAGAGAAACGTTGCAGGAAGGACACATGTATGCAGTGGAACTTCTTTTCTTGGCGGCAGTGCAGACTTTACAGGCCCTTTGCGAGTTTTGAATTCTCCCATTACCACTAATACGTGTTATTCTATGTTTTCTCATGTCCGTAGTAAGTCTGCCTGGTGGATCAAACCTCGGCAATCTTTTATCACATTGAGCAGCCAATCTTGATTGTTGCTCCTTTTTATTCCCATTAATCCATGCTAGTGCAAGGTTTAGTAAAAATTGTTTGAATCTAATAGGATTTTCAGAATTTTTTATGTATATCTGGAACACGTTGAGTACTGCACAGTTTATGAGATATAAAACCTTTTTTTTTTTTTTTTTTTTTTTTTTTTTTTTTTTTTGTCTATTTTTTTTGTTTTGCGAAGCATGGAATAACACGATAGGTATTGATCGGCATGATCAACACCTTTCATACATTTATTATACTCTTGTATGCAAATTGGTTTAATGCACTTCTTTTTGGTTCTTTTACTCACACATTCGAACCATGTCTGCTGAATGTATCATGTAGAAATCATCATTATCAATTTTTTGGCCGAATTCCATTTTTGTATACCATAATTTTCCCTTTTCCTACGAAATTCCATTGACTTATTTTTCAATGTAGCAGATTTTAAACAATTTGGCCACTTCCTCTGCTTACTCTAATTGTGCCACAGATGTTTGTTTTATGCTTTAGTAACTCCTCTGCAACCTTTAAACTATTGTAATAGTTGTCCATATATACATTGTGCCATAAATTTAAATATGGCGATAACACGGACAATATTGTCGCAATTAGCGATTTTCCTTGCGCGCAATATATTTCTAAATTGCATATATAACCAGATGCTGCCTCACACACCATACATTAAATTCCATATTTTATAATTTTCGCAGGATTATATGTGTGAAAAGATAGCCTGCCCCTCCATGGAATGATACCTTCATCCAGCGATAATTCTTTCTCGGGTTTATAAATTTTTTTAAACTTTTCTACCAGGTACGAGTAAACTGGTTTTATTTTATCAAGCTTTCTTGGCAATGCTCATTATTACTGAAGTGCCAATACTTCCATAACTGCCGAAATCGGTTCCTTAGCATAGTATTCCCAAAAATAGGTGTATGTAATCCAGGGTGAGTAGACCAATAATCATCTTGTTCTGGTTTTCTTACTATTCCCATTAGGATAACAAGCCCCAAAAGTTTTTTCATTTCTACAACGTTTGTATCAATCCAAGCTGTATTCTTTGTTGATGCATTGTTGTTATCATTATTCTGCTAATTATGATATAAGTTTGTGTGGCAAACAAATTAAATAAATCATCCCCAATGAACAATTCCACAGTTGATAATATATCTGGTGTGTATGGTACCTGTAACCGTTCCAGGCAAGCATGAAAGTTAGGTTTAAAATCAACTTCTGACCAATCATTTGCTACAGAATTCTCTTCATCACTTTCAGATTCACTAATTATTGGTCTTCTATTTTTGAATCGTCTCACAATTATATCACTCCCACTGTCTGAATCACTTTCGCTATCAAAGCAATTATCCTCTTCTGATAACAGATCAGCATATATTTCCTCATCGAAGACCATTTTGAAGGATATCTTTAAATCTAACGTAACTTTCCGATATTTGAAGGCAGCAAAAGACAGCGTCTCAAACTAACAAAACAAGCGTCCACGAAAAAAGATTTCAGTAATACAGTCAAAAGTCATTAATTCGGACACCCATAATCCGGACCTCAAAGCTACAAACTTACTGCGCATGCGTCGCGTTGACGCATGCGCAGAAGGCATAGGCGTTTACGCGTACGCGTAAGACCTTAATGGCTTATGGCTGCGGCTTAATGGCTTAAGGCTTATGGCTGCGAATATGCATGTGCGCATGCACATAATACGTTTACGCATGCGTGTTTTATGTATAACGGACGGTATAAGCTAAGCTAAAATTATCTAATTCAGTTAACGTTGCAGATTGCGTTGTTCCTTAATCTTCAAATTGGATCCGGCTTGTTATTTTTTGCAGACTGTTAGAGCAATTTTATAAAAGTAAGCTTGAACTTTCGATTATGTCAAATAGAATTTCCGATATATATTTACTAATATGTAAAGGATCTACAAAGCGAAAGTATGTTTCGAAGTCCATTAAACAGAAAGTGGAATTGCTGCAAAAAATGGATAAAGGCATATCTTTTGATTATCTAATCATTCCAAAATATGTTTATCAATTTCACGCTGCTTTGCGGGAGATGGGACGACGTGGCGCGCAATGAATTGGAAGTTGATCTGTCAGCACTATCCTTATCTTCAGCGCAGATGTTTTTATTTTATTTGGCTTATAATTCCTTACTAAATGTAGTATTTCATCTCGATGTACTCTGTCTTTGATATGATTTAAATCAAGTTCTTCATCATTATTATTCGCTTCCGATAGTGAAGAAAGTGACACAGAGGTTATTGAAAACGAAAAAATTTCGATTGACAAATTAGTCCGTATTCTCGACACAGGAATTATAAGACTTGAACAGCGGAACTTTGTAACTAAACAAGAAATTATGTCTGTTTAATAGAATTAAAGAGAAAGTATTATCGCATAAAACGAAGCAACTTAAACAACTTACATTGAAAGAAATGTTTAATAAAGTAAACAATTAAATATTAAGCTTTTTCTTTTTGTAAATTTTGATACCCTTTAGATCATAATTGTTCTTTATTTCATAAATTACGGTTTCATATCTTTAATTTTATAATTTCTGCATGCCATCTTACCAGATTTAAACTGATGATCTATAATCCGGAAAAATCGATAATCCGGAATCGCCGAAGACCCGACGAGTCTGGATTAATGACTTTTGACTGTAGACAGTCTGGTGAATTGAGAGAGGAAAACAGTTGAAACCAATGTTTCCTGATCGTCAAATGTTTTGCTATAGTATGTCTATCTATACAAACGTCGATGTGAAGCATCATCGTTGGCAAAAATAAGTCACTCGTACGTGACAGCAGCCGATAACTGTTGGTGAGCAAAAGTCACGCCAGCGTAACAGCAGCCCGCAAAATGTTAATAAGATTTTATATTTGGTTATTTATTGATAATTATTATTGTTATTAACCATGTATTTTATTCTGATTATTAGGAAAGCAAAAAAGAAAAAAGAACTTGAAAATTATTTGCAAACACAAAGCAGACTGATTTCAAAATACAGAAAAGATGAGAAAAATATCTTGAAACTAAAAGAGGTGCTTATGATTTTTATATTAAATTTATGAATTCATAATCAAAACTGAGATGAAAAATTGTGAATACAAAACTGCTCATTTTTATGGTTTAAATCTGAATTAAAATCATTTTATGTTTCATATACACTGATGAGCCAAAACAATATAACCATCTCCACAGTTTTTCAATGAATTCATCTAGATGACGTGGTGGACACGTGATTAAGTGGGAATGGTATTTAACTGCTGCTGAGAAAAAGGTAAGGAGTCATTCTTGCCCTTACTTTTGCGAGTGATGGGAAGGGCTGCTGATGTAAGCGAATTTGATAGAGGGTAGATTGTAATGGCCTAAAGACTAGAAACAAGTATCTCTGAAACTGCATGACTGTTAGATTATTCACGATTTGTGTTGTTAGTATTTATGTAAAATGGATAAATGATGGTGAAACCAGCAGTAGATGCCAAGGTGTTGGATGTTCATGTGTCATCAAAGAAAAAGAATATCAGAGATTGTCCTGCTTGGTACAGCAAAATCGACGTCAGACGGTGGCTCAGCCAACACTACAGTACAGTGCAGGTCCAAGAGCAAATGTTTCGAAACATACAGTTCAGTGAACACTGTTGGATATGGGACTGCACAGCAGACGTCTCACTGATGTATGTCTGTTGATCAAGCATCATTATCAGCTATGCCTACAGTGGACTCGAAATATCAAGACTGGACCATGAATAAGTGGAAGACAGTTGCCTGGCCAGATGAATCATGATTTTTCATTCATCACATTGATGGTCGTGTCAAGATATGCCGTCTTCCGGCTAAACAGTTGCTCCCCTCCTGTACAGTAGGTCATACACAGGCTGGTGGTGGCCGTATTATGCTCTGGGGGACATTTTCATGGGCACGTCTGGTGATAGAATTAGCTGTGATAGAACAAACCTGAGCATAACTGCAGATCAGTTACACCCTTACATGGCATCTGTCTTCACAAATGGAAATGGAATCTTCCAGCAGGACATTGCCCCATATTGCAAGTCTTGAATTGTGTTGGAGTAGTTCGAGGAGCATAAGGATGAATTCTAATTAATCTCCACCTAACTCGCCGGATCTTAACGCAGTGAGCACGTTTGGGATGTCATGGAGCAGCAGCTCAGAGTTCAAACCCCATTATATTGGAATATCTCAACTTTGCATTTGGTACAACCTGTCTCCAGTCATCTGCCAAGAACTTATGGCATCCATGCCAAGGCAAGTTGCAGCTGTTTTGGAGGTCAAAAGTCACACAATGTGTTATTCAGTAGGTGGTCATAATGTTTTGGCTCTTTAGTGTATTAATGCAGACATCCTGGACAGCATTATATCCTATGTTACAGTTGAAAATAAACAAATATGTTTGGAGTTATTTGAGACCATCTTCATGTTTATTTATATAAACATATTCATATAAAGGAGAAAACTTATCTGGCATCAAAATGTTACACATTTTGATAAATTTTCACTCTAGTCATTAAAAACATTTTGATAAATTTTCACTCTAGTCATTCAAGCCAGTCGAGATAATGTTTAGCAAATGTTGGCTATGAAATGGTCTTAGGTTTGAGTCCTAGGTAAAAGGCATGATGATCACAGCAAGTATGCAAAATAGGGGCACTTAAAATGCCTTAATCTGAGGCTGCTGGCAGATGACGAATATGAAAGCTCCAGATTCCATTCCTCATATGAACAATGGATTTGTTTAATGAAACTGTGAGTAATAAATGCTTAAATAAAGAAAGAGTACTTTAAAATAAAGTGAAAAGGCAACCTTAGTTTGTTGTAGATTTTTTAATAGAGTTTTATAAAGTTTTACATTGGTCACAGGCATGTTTCTCTGCTAGTTTGAAAGCAATACTTCTCTCTTCTCTTTTGCTTCGACTAATTTTCAGTATCATTATGGTTATTACATGAAGAAAAATTGTAGATGAAACACTTACGTAAATTTTATGTTGAAAAACTTAACAAATGTTTAATTATTTAAAATAAGTTACTTATATAAGAAAAAAAATCATATTTATCTAAATTATGTTACTGAAGTTTTCAGTTATTATTTTAGAACATCTATTATCATTTACAATCATTATTTGATTTAGAATTATTGTCAATTGTAATGTTGTTATACTTAAAAAATGAATGATATTATTTTCATTATCAGCTGTATTCATTAATTTAATCTGTACTTAAATTTTAAAGGAATTAGCCTAAACAGCAAAAAAATTTAATTTTTGAGTAATATCTTCAATAATTTTTAGATCCTGAATGTACAAAGTTTGAATTTAAAATGAGAAACATTTTTTATATCAATATAATTTAGACAAAGTTTAATTTATTCAAACATTTTTACATTTAATTTGCTGAAATTTTATACACTTTTTAATAACAAGCGAGGCAGATAGCCCTCGAGACTTAGCCATAATTAAATAAATCAAATGAACTTATCAATCAATTTTTAGCCCAGAAGGGCTATTAATTTCATCTTGGCATTTTGTTTTGATTCACTTTTCAAACTGTTGCCACCAAATATTACAGCCCTGTATTACATTTAAAGAAATTAAATAATGAAGAATCTGCATAAATGTATGCATGTTTCTCACATTGTGATAAAACAATGGTACCTAGAGCCATCAAATTTTGAATAATGTAATCCTCCACTGAATATGGTCATCTGGAAGCCCTAACTTGGAATTTGTTTTATTATCTATTCCATATTTTGTCAGACATTAAAGAATTTTTAATTAATAAACACAGCAATTTCAAAGCAAGAAATGGCAACACTGTACTGGGGGGGAACGCATTTTTATCTCCAGTGTGGGAGACTGTGTATCGGAAATTCTAAAGATATGCTCATTTTAAGATTATTTTGCAATATTGCCGTTGAATTGGATTTTATGGTTTAAGTGCAAAAAAATCACACTTAAACTGATCGAACTTTAATAAATAAGGGTAACTTTGCATCGAGAACATAGGCCCTTAGCCTGAACACATTAACATACACTTATCGAACACATAGGTCCTTAAACTTCGCATCAAACTTTAATAAATAAAGGTAACACACAAAACATTGAAAAAACAATCCTTTTGGGTGTAATGTAAAATCCGAAACCTTTCAGATTTTTTTCGTAACTAACTGAATTAACAAAGCATATCCTCAAATTTTCCTGTGAATGTCTGTTATACCTTACTTTTCTGTGTTATTTACTAGCTCTTTATATATATACTGTATATTTTTTTATTCTCTAATTTATTAACTTAACATTGTTGTCAGGCAAACTAAAAATAAACTTTCATGTTATTTTTAAGAGTACCATTAAAAACTGACTTTTTTTCCCTTCCAGGACAGTGGCAAAGAGATAGCAGAAAGAGTAGAGGCCTTTGTGAAAAATATTGGAAAATAATTGTATATTCTGTATATTGTTCATTATTTTGAATTATTAAAATATTTATTCTACATGCTGCATGACTTTTAAGTCATACAATATGCATAGATATCACATATACAACAAACATTTCAACTAAACATAAATTATTTAAATACGTACGCAATAATATACCATTGGGGGAAACCATAATTTGGCTGAGCTTTGTTTTCCTCTTTTATTGATATCAGTCTTAAAATAGATTCTCTAGGTCAGTATACTTTATTCTGGTGACCACATGAATCAGTGTTACTTAAGATATGTTAGATATATATGATTTTTTAAGGAACAAACCAACTAACTGCCTTCATTTACCTAATGTTATTTAGTAAAGTACTGTTTGTCTGCGGTAAGAACAGCTCCCGCCCGGTTGCTATAGCAACAGGGCTAGTATATTTCAAATAGGGGAGAACCAAGGGTTGCTTTATTGTTATTTTGTTTTTGGTGACTATTGGCTGAAGGGAAAAGAGTTTATCATTCGTCTTTTCGGTTTCATTCCAGCTGCACACGTTTTCTTACGCATTATTACTGTTAGCTATTTTTATTCTCATTGTTACATCTTTTGTACTGGTATTTGTTCAAATTTGCTTCTATTTAGCTTGATTTTTGCAGTGCTTTGTTAATCGCCAATTTTAAAATGCCCTTCCAGTTTAAGAAAGGTCAACGTTTAAAGTCTCAGGTACGTCAAATTGTGTACAATGTCGCAGAATTTTGCACTTCTGAATCTTCGGCGAACTCTTTAGTAGTTCCTCTTCCTCAATTGAAGAGAGCATCGCAAGCTACTGGAGTATCGGAGTATACAATTAAAAAAATTAAGCACAAAGTATCAACAATGGGTGAAAATAAAACCTGGAAAGAAACCTAAAAGCCCTGCTAATCATAAGTGCGAAATTGACGATTTTGACAAATGCATTATATGGTAGACAATACAAGACTTTTACATCAAAGAAAAGAAAGGTGGAAATTACTGCCTGTCTTGAGGCAAAAAATAGACTTCCCGTGCCAAAAAGACTCTTTGTGCAAAGTTTTACGTTCAATGAATTTTCGCTGGAAGAAATGAGGTTAACAAAAGAAAAATTCTTATCGAAAGACCTCGCACTGTATTTTGAAGGAACAATTATTTATGCGAAATGAGGAAACTCGGGGCTCACATCATTTACATCGATGAAACATGGATTGACAGCAATTTAACTTTTTTGGGCGTACAGATAAATGTCAGTTCAAAAAATAGACTGATTGTTGTCCATGCTGGCTCTTGCCGCAGGATTTATTCCAGGTGCCCAACTTGTATATAAAGCATCAGCTCAAAGCAGGTATTACTGAGCAGTATTCTCATTTTAAATCAAAAAGGCAATATAGGAGAATGTTTCAGTATTAGTTTTGTAATACTGAGCAAAAATTAAAGATGATTATCTCAGCATAAGGTTGCCGTGGGTTCTAGATCAAATGTTCATTATTTCTTGTCACTTTAAGCCCACCATTAACTGAATACACAAACACTACGTCATAAGTTTCATTCTTACAAGGCCGAACAAGATGACCACAGGGGATTTTTATGCTTCTTCATTTGTGCAAATATGAACCAGTTCCTCAAAGAAAATCTTTTAGGAGTTATCTTCCTAAATATAGATAGCTTCCAAGCTTCTTAAATAACTTAAATAACAATATTTTAATAGTGCAGGTAGTTTTTAGAAATAACTTTTCTCTAAATCAACATTATTTGATTATTAAATAAAATAGAATTAGAAAAAAGAACCTTGGGAAGAATCATTCAGGCATGGTTTGTAGCTTGAAATATGTAATACGAAATTATTGTTTTCAGAGCTATTGACAGCACTTGATTACCATTAGTATGCGGATTGCAGCAACATTGTCTGAACAAATTGTACCATTCCTGGACACTCATGTTGTTATCTCAGTTGTATGTCAGTTATAGTTATAGCACAATAATACAGTCAAAAGTCGTTAAGCCGGACTCGTCGGGACTTCGGCGATTTCCCAATTATAGATCATCAGTTTAAATCTGGTAAGATGGCATGCAGAAATTACAAAATTTTAAATATGAAACCATAATTTATGAAATAAAGAACAATTATGATCTAAAGGTATCAAAATTTACAAAAAGAAAAAGCTCAATATTTATTTGTTTACTTTATTAAACATTTCCTTCAATGTAAGTTACTTCATTTCATGTGATAATACTTTCTCTTTAATTCTATTAAACAGACATAATTTCTTGTTTAGTTACAAAGTTCCGCTGTTCAGGTCCTATAATTGCTGTGTTGAGAATACCGACTAATTTGTCAATCAAAATGTTTTCGTTTTCAATAACCTCTGGGTCACTTTCTTCACTATCGGAAGTGAATTATGACCACGAGGAACTTGATTTAAATCATATCAAAGACCGACTACACTTAGTAAGGAATTATAAGCCAAATAAAATAAAAACATCTGCCCTGAAGATAAGGATAGTGCTGACAGATCAACTTCCAATCCGCAGCGTGAAATTGATAAACAGATTTCCGGATTTCAAAACATACTTTCGCTTTGTAGATACAAATTACATATTAGTAAATATATATCGGAAATTTTACTTAACATAATTGAAAGTTCAAGCTTACTTCTATGAAATTGCTCTAACAGTCTGCAAAAAATAATACGCCGGATCAAATTTGAAGATTAAGGAACAACGCAATCTGCAACATTAACTGAATTAGATAATTTTAGCTTTGCGTATAACTCCGTTACACATTAAATGCACATGCGCACAAACATATTCGCAGCCGTAAAGGTTTTACGCGCTCTTGTAAACGCCTGTGTGAGGCGTGAGCGCTACGCATGCGCAGAAAGTTTGTAGCTTTGAGGTCCGGATTATGGGTGTCCGAATTAACGACTTTTGACTGTATTGACCTAGTGAAATAAATATTATTATTAAAAAAATTACCATGAATAAACAAAAAGAGAATATTTCAAGATATGTGGACAGAAAAGTATGGGTGTATCGAAAATGGTGACAAATTGATATGTACAGATATAATTACCGCCAGGACTTATAATATTGAGCGACACTTTTCTTCAAAACATAAAGATGTGACTGAAATGGCAAATGAAGATAAATCTGAATACATTGCTAAACGTGTATTAAATTTTGGAAAACAAAATAAATTCTAAAGAGTTTTGTTACCAGCAACAATCACGCTACGTCTGCCAGCTTTGTTGCAGCTCTTAGCTACCAACGGAAAACCATTTACAGACGGCGATTTTTTGAAAATCGCATTCATAAATTGTTCCGAACACTTATTTAATGATTTTGCAAATAAAAAACAAATAATTGAGAGAATCCAAGAAATGCCATTGTCAGCTAGAACAGTCCAGCGTCGCGTTGAAGATATGACCAAGAATATTCATGAACAGGTCAAAAATGATTTATCTTGCGACATAATTAGCATTGCAGTTGACGAAAGTACCGACATAAATAGTATTGGTAGGCTAGCAATAATTATTAGATTTGCATCAATAAATAGCTCGAATGTCAATGAAGAACAATGCATTCTTGCTTCAATGAACGACACCACCAAAGGCACTGATATTTTTTGTCAAGTACAAGAGTTTACAAATTTCAAAAATGGGCAAGTATTGGATTTAAAAAGTAAATTGTTTTCCATAACAACTGACGGTGCTCCAAGTATGAGAGGAAAAACTGTTGGATTTGTAAAACTAATGGAAAATGAACTTCGCCGTTCACTTTTATCGTTTCATTGTATCATACATGAAGAAAATTTATTTGCAAAGGCTTAAGGCACAACAACTTAAGGATGTAATGGAAAAAGTTATTAAGATCATAAACACGATGATAGCACGATCAGCATTAATACACAGGCGCTTTAAAGCTTTTTTTGGATGAAATTGGATCGAAATATGGAGATTTGTTATTACATTCTGAAATACGATGGTTATGTCGGGGCAAAGTTCTTAATAGATTTGTAGAGTGTTTTGATGATATACAAATATTTCTTCACGAAATCTGTGAAAATGATCTCAAACTCAATGATAAACAATGGTTTTTAAGACTTTTGTTCTTAACAGACATAATGAACCATTATAATGATTTCAACGTTCGACTCCAAGGAAATAACCACACAATTTTGAAAATGTATGAGGAATGGAAGAGTTTTACTTCAAAATTGATATTATTTGAAACTGACATTAAAACTTAAAAATTTCATTTCTTTCCCTTGTTAAAAAGGGAACATGAAAAAGAAAATATCGATGAACGCAATCTAAATATGTTTGAAACTTGGATTTCGATCATCCAATGAAATAAAAGAAAATATTATAAATTTGCAGTATTTTGAATATCTAAGAATTGACAATTTTAGTTTAGAAATGATTGATTTTAAAAGTTCAACATTATGGACGGATAACTTCAAGAAATTGCGGAACGATTTGGAAAATACTGAAGATAATCATTTTCTCATGATATCAACATGTTGGGCATCACTTCCTACGAGGTTTTCATCATTAAAAAAAATTGCCTTTGCCATTTTGTCCACATTCGGGTCCACTTACAAATGTGAGCAAATATTTTCACAAATGAAATTTATTTTAAGATGCTTGTGTTTGACTTAAAATGACTAACTATAAACCAGACTTGACTAAATTTGACGTCACAAGTTCAACATCAGGGGAGCCATTGATATCGTAGAGAAAGTTTATAAATAAAGTTTATTCAGCTATGTTTGTAATTATTTTCTTAATAAAATATATCTTATTATTTACTAAAATGCTGTTTTAATATGAAAATATCTCTGACCCAAACGTCTCTTTAATACTCACATTTTGGTTGATTTTGACCCACGACCAAAAAAAGTTGTCGACCCCTGTACTAAGCCATAGTGCCATCCGTGATATATCCCAAGGGAGAAAAGCTAGTTGGGTTAGTTCATTTCTTATAAGGCCCGTGTAAAGTTCCAAATTCAAATGGTCACACGAGTTTCAAGCAATAATAAAGTAATATATAATCATAATTTTGTTTATTTAAGTATATTAAAAGAATTACTTCCATATAAGTATTAGACATATCTGTTAAAGATTGTACAATAATTAATATTGTTATTTAAACTTAACTTCTACATCACCAATGATTTTCTACTTTTGTTTTTGTTATTACTTTCCTCTTTTGCTGAATGGCAACAATCATTATTGTTTTTTAAGTAAAAATAGGCTTTCGTTTTTACATAATGTTTAGAATGCAGTGTTCTAGGCTTATTTTGATGTTTTTTATGTTAGAAATGCTAATTTAAGGCTGCATTTTCACTGAATAAATACTTGTTTCATTAATCTGTAAAACTTGTAGTTCATTCGAGTGATTTGAAACGCGTCCGTAACCTTTTGATTGCAGTTATTCTTTACAATATCTTTGGTATCCGATAAAGTAAGCATTTTATACTGCGAAATATTTTTTTTAAATGAAAAAAGTTCCAAAAAGTGGTTTAAAAATTTTACACGCTAGTCTGTCAGAACATGACTAACAAATTTAACATAGGAAGTTGTGTCCAAAAATCAAACCGTACGGTGCTACAGCAACGGAAATAATCATAAAAGAAGAAAATGAAAAAATAATCCCACTTCTTTGCAAAATGCTGTCTACTACACTCACACCCTCATAAATTTCTTTGTGTGTACAAGCAAGAAAACATTTCAAAAGCTGAATTCAATCCATAGGTCTTTGATTATGATTCAGACTCAAAAGTCACATCAGGCAACAACTAGACTTTTTTAAAAAAGTTAAATTTTGCTTTAAAGTGCTCTTAAAAAGTTACTTATTCAAAGATATGACTTTTTTTTTAAATTTTACGTGACTACATACAGAAATTTGCATTCTCATGATTTTAAAGATATTAAGCTTGTATTAATATTTTAAAATACAAAATTTGTCTAAAATATTAATTTCAAAATTGAACAAAGTTAATATTTTACAGAAATTGAAAGTACGATAATAAAGCTGTGTAATATCAGTAACATGTTTGTAGTATCAAAATTGTACAGCTAATATATGTGTGTGTGTTTCACATCGTAAATGAAAATTTTGATTATATTTTGTTTGTGAATGATCCCTTGAAAAACATATTAACAGTGCTTCACTATATTAGATTTTTAATGAAATCAAAAGTTCTTAACCTGATGCTCAGTTATCATTTTCCTATGATTGTAATTGCATGACACATTCTAATCTCTAAATATCTATGCACTAAAAGCACGCTGATTTGTAAAGATCTGAATACAACATTAAACTAATATTATTATTTCATCAAATAACTTTCTTTATGTTTCATCATCATTAATGCAATATGTTAGGCAGAAAAGTATAAGATATTCTACACATTTTAAAATATTCATATTTTATTGCAGTATTTTCAGTATTAATCTACAGTGTTTACTTAACATAACAATAATAAATTATTATTTTGAGCAAAATTATATTTATTATTTAATTAGTTTCCCCTCAAGTATGTTATCGTTATGCAATTTTTTAAGAAAGGAAGTACAAGATATACTATATTTTTTCAAATACTCTATTGCAGTATTTCCAGTAATAATGGAGTTTTAAAAACTTTAAATGTTTTCTTAAAAGAACAATAATAATAAATTTTGCAGTTTGCAAGAAAACCTGTATGCAATTTACAGAACTTTTTAACATTCGCAAAAAGAGAAGTTGAATTTTGAAATCTACGAGATCATTCTATGTTTCTGTTGAAATGAAAGCTGTGTAGCAAATATTTCATTTTACTTTAGTAGTTAAGATTTTTACAACATAACTAGCCATGTCAAATGAAAATTATACATTGCACGATAGCAAACCATAGTGAAATTCTGAGTCATCCCAATTTCTTTGGCAGTGAATGTGGTGCCATCTGTGATATATCTCAAGGGAGAGAAGCCAGTTGGGTTAGTCCATTTCTTATAAGGCCCGTGTAAAGTTCCAAATTCAAATGGTCACACGAGTTTCAAGCCATAATAAAGTAATATATAATCATAATTTTGTTTATATAAGAATATTAAAAGAATTACTTTCATTTACACAAAATAATTTTGTAATGATGAATACTTTGCTGAACTTTATATGGATTACTGTAACCAAATATTTTTACATGAGACTCTCAGAACATGTTTTAATATGAAAATATCTTTTCTGATTCCAGTTCAGCATCATGGTGCTGGTTGAAAAAAACAAGGTTAAATGATGAGCATTAATAAAGTATGTTTAGTTTGTTCACAAGAATGTAATGGAAACATAGTTTGTTTGAAATACAATGAGCTTGATGACTTGGGTTTTAATGAAGTGAAGTCATAGGAGAATACAAAGCTTACACTACTTGCTACTTGTACTAGGTTACAGTAAATTATATATGTTGTGAATTAACACTTCGTTAAAATAAATTATATATGTTATGAATTAACAGTTGGTTAACAGTATGTTATATAAGTTGTGAAGCAATGCACAAAAGAACAACATTAGACATTTAAGAATAGAGAAAACTCTTTTCCTAAATTATGCATCTTAAAGTAGTGTATGACCTGCATAGCTTTCTTGATATGTTTACTTATCTGCTGGGACAAACAAAACAAAAAAAATTTTTTTTTAAATAAAAGTCGTAGAAAGTGCACTTGGAGTAAAGAAAGTAAGAATATTCATAATAAGATTAATCTCATTCTGATGTATTTATGGGGCTTACAATCCATATCAGAACTAGATGAACTGCTCCAGAACTAATTCACTTTATTAAAGAAATTTACTCTGATTCCAGATACAGTTGTAGCTCTTTTACAGTTCATGTGCAGTATGCCAGGCACAGATATTTGCAATAAATTCATTCAATTTAATTCATGGAATAAGAGCAAGGCTCTTGTCAGAAGCATGCCAGGAAAGTTTGATTCCCATTTTTGGGAAGAAAAGAACGTTTATTCTCCCATATTTAAAAGTGAGTTTAATTTTTATCCTTTACTTATTTAAAAGTTTTTATTCTAAAATTTTACTATTAGTTATATGTACAAATGAGATTTTATGGATTTTCAAAATACAGTTGAAAGAAAATCAGTTCAAGTAACAGTTTATTGCATCGGTTTTTCTGAGCCCATGGCTCATTCAATTCTTTTCGCTATTCGCTTCAGCTTTGCTAAACCAGTTTTGATTCCACTGCTCATTTGATTCTTTTTGCTCTTCAGTACATCCTCATTAATCACTCTTGATTCGTCTCTCATTCCTCTTCTTTGTCAATCATAAAAATGAACAGATTCCTTTCAGTGAGCAAATGATTCTGATCCAATCCTCAAAGAAGCAAATTTTCCTCATCTCTAGTTCATACCCCAGTATCTGAAGTTGAAAAAGGAAGAAGTATTGCAAGATTTATTTTACCTATTATCATGAAAATAACCAAAGATGGATTTTTTAAAATTGGAAACAAGAAACATTTATATTTCTGATTCCAGTTCAGCATCATGGAATAAAAAAATAATTAAAATCAAAGAACTGCCAGAAATGAGAAATTGTTCCAGTCGGCTGCTACAGCTCAAAGTTTAGGTACAGATTGGGGATTTAAAATATGTTCATATAAAATAGTGTCAACAAAAAAATTTATTTGTTTGAAAGAATAATGTTCTATGCTATTTCAAGTGCCATTTTAGTAATCCCTGTAGAAACAAATGATTTTATTGTGTCTTTGTATAAGTAACATTTTGTATGTTGTATAATTCAGTTAAATTGTTTATTTTACATTTTAACTGCCCATAATGAATTAATTTATAGAATAACTAGTTATTTTACGAAATAACTACTTAAAGTGTGGAATTGTTGATTTATTATACACTTTAGCGACAACACATACATTAAAGTTTGGGGGAAAATTTTAGCAAGGCTCACAAAAAAACAAAACAGATATTTTACAGAAAAAAAAAAACTCTACAATTATATATATATATATATATGCTTTATTTTAAGTACCATATTGTAACACAAACAGCACTGCTTAATACATAACACTAGACAAAAAAAAAAAAAAAAAAAAAAAACTTTCATTGATGTAGATTTTAAATTAAACTATCAGTTTTGAGAGTGATCTGATATATCTCTTCTTCAGGAGTTAAAATATTAAGAAAAGTGTTGCTTGTTAGAATGTTTTTGAAATTGATGGAATTTTAGTTAAAATCTATGCCAATCTACAGATAGCATTTTGGCTGAGTTTCATATTTTATAGTGCCATGCTTCTCTTCCAACTACTAAATATTTAAATTCATTTTCATGGTATATTAGATCATTTTTGGACCATCACTGGTCTCTGGTTATTTCATGCATATCTGTGCATTATAGCACAGATAATCAAGAGTTCAGTGGTAGTTATACACATGCAAATAAAATAAAGTCAGAAACTTTAAAAAATTATATATGTTGTGAAGCAATGCATAATTTGCATATCTTTCTTAGAACGTAACTTATCATCTGCTAGGATAAGCAGCACAAAAAAGGTTTAAAATAAAGGTTGTTAAAACATACTTTTTTTAAAACTTCAGCAAAATTATTAAAAATGCATCTGATACAAACAGGTGTTTTCCACTTTGTTAAGTTCACTTAACACAACTCTGCTATTAGTGTTTTCGCTAACTGGGAAAAAGTCTAAATTAGTAACCCTTACCTCAAGACTTTCACAGTGGCCACAGAGCTAACCCTCAGAAATCAACATTCAAACAAGCAAACACACAAGTTGCAGTAGACATTATTCATCTGATAAGCCTGATAAATTCTTAAAATGATGAGATGCTAATGATTCTCATCGTTCTCTCATTACACTTCCTATTACTGCACCCTCTTAAACTCATTTTTTTCACACCATGATCATTAATATCATGCAGAGCCTTTCAAAGTTTTTGCTATCATCTTGATTTTTACATATAGAATTTTATTGCATGTATCATTTTTAGGTTGTGCATTCATCACATCAGTCTTGTTTATATTAGTGCTTATGTTTTTATGTACCAGGTATCCAGAAAGGTTCATGCTGCTGGAAAATGAGTGAAATCCAAACGGTAGGCATTGGCAACCCTGCCAAAATGACATCAAAACTTCCCATTCCTACCAACTGTTAATCAGTGCAGAGTATGAGGTGTATTAAAAGCAGTTTTGTGAGGATTACAATTCTGAAGTGAATATGCCAGTGTTTGCTATTCAAACCGGGCAGCAAAGAAGCAGAAGCTGCTAATAAAAAGATATGCTTCCCATTTGGGGAGGCAGCAGTGAGGAAGCATACAGCATGAAAATTGCTCAGCCACATTGCATCGGGAGATGATGGCTTTCAGGATGAGTCATAAGCTAGGTATTCATCCAACATCAACAAAGCCATGTTAAAGGAGAACACAAAGTGTAATCCAAACCAAATATATAAACAACTTGCACAAGGGTTTGAAGTATTGGAAGAAAGCATCCAATTGCATTTCATAAGCTTAAAAAGATATGGAAGTTCAGTGAGTAGGTGCCTCATGTTGACCGAAGAAAGCAAATTTCAGCCATTCACCATTTGCTCTTTTTGCTGTCATGTCATAAGAAACCTTCATTCCTGAACCAGATATTGATATCTGATGAGAAATGTGTGTTATATAGTAATGGGGGGGAAAACATCATTCGTAATCCCCTGGTGTTGTGGTATTAGCTACCACAAAACTTCACCAACAGAAGGTGCTCTGTGTTTGATGACCCACACTGGTATTGCGCAGTTTGAATTCCTAGAGAATGACAAAACCATCAAAGCAAAAAAATTACACTCTTCTCAGTCACAAAGGGTTGCAAATGCACTGCTCAGAAGCAGACTGCACTAGTTCAGGAAGAAAAGAGTAATGCTTTTTCAAGACCTTGAATGAAAGTGACAGAAAAAGTGGAAAGTTTCTTCTCATCCATCTGCTTACTCACCAGATGCTGTAGTAATCATACGTTTGAATAACAAACAGTTCTGCCCCTTCCACGATGCCATGCAGGTGATAATTCAGTTTTTTGGCTCAAGGGAAGAGAACTTTTACAAACAGGAAATATGTCATTTTGTAACTCATCATGAGGTTGCAATTACAAAGGTTTGAAAGGACTGTTCTAGTTTCAGAAAAACTGAAGAACCTGTACAAAAATTTAATGTAATCCAATTTGTTTATTATTTTGATTAATAAGAAAATGATGCTACGAGGCAATTTTAGCAATAAATTTTAGTAATTAAATATGATAATAAACTGAAGTTTACAATAAACTTGATTATTTATTACTATCGCAGCTCCCTCTCTCGCTATATATATATATATTTTTAAGACCAAATAGGTCTTACATCACATTACTTGTTAGCTTTTCAATTTCTATTTCGATTATATATATATATATACATGCAGACTTACTTTTTCCCTGACAGGCTGCTAATTTTATTTCTTAAAATCTTGTTTTTCATGATAGCAGCATGACTTAAAAATTTAATGTTTTATATCCAACTAGTTTGAAAATTCCACTTTTATGCATTCTTGCTATAATATAGTATAGAAGATAGTATTAAATAAAAATGAATATATTGCATACTTTTAGTGAATATGAAACACTAATATACATGATGACTGTGAAATATATCTAATTATCACATATAATCAGAATAAAAGTCAGAGTACACATTTTAAGCTATTAAAAGACCAAGCTCAAAATACGCCAAAATTACTTTTATATTTGTTTAATGTTTAAAAGTTGAGAAATTTCCAGCAAACAATTGTAATGCATTAACATATAGTTTTTTTTCTTTTGTACTAAACTTTTTCAGCATAATGTATAAATAAAACCATACATTTATCCCTTTTAATATAATTTGAACTTTAGAAGTACTTTAATAATTTAAAAGCTGCAAAAACTACAATTCATCAGCTTGACACAAAAAAAAATTTAAAAAAAAAAAAAATCATAAAACATTCAAAAACATAATCAAGTGCATCAAGATAAGTCATTGAACTCTATATTAAATGAAATGCATGAAGCTCAAAAATGTGAATTAAGCATACTACGCAATTTCACGTTTTAAATGGAGATAAAAACTATACAGATTTTATCGAAAAAACAGTCACCAGCTTTACAGTTATTAAACATTTATGCAACATAATGATACTGATTTGTATTATCTTTATCACGCTGTAAATAATCTCTGTCAATCAAACTTTCGACACGCTTCTTTAATTCTGTTGGTTTCACAGGAAATTTAAGTTGATCATATAATTCAGTAATTAGTAAGTTGTGAGATAATGATTTTCTCATCTTCATTATGCGAACAATAGCAGCATCTATTTGATACTGACGATCTTGGAAAACTCTCTCTTGAGTAATGGATTGTTCTTCCTGAGTTTCCTTCATTTGTATTTGATTAATTTTTATTCTATAATATTTGTTTTTAAAATCTTCATTAAAAGTAAATTTATCATCATCTTCAACATCCTTACCACGAGGAATTTTTTGCAAAACTCTAACTTTACCACATGCCAATGATTGAAGAGTTCTTCTTAATTCTCCTTCTTCAATGGCAGTAGCTTGTTTTATTTCTTCAAATGAACAGCTATCTTCTTTATTGAACATCAGAAGAACTAACGCTTGAAATAATGAAACTTGCAATTCTTTGTTACCTGCAGAAAAATAAGCTTTCAGTACACAGTGACCTAAACTAGGTTGCCAAAGCAACTTGCGTCCACTGTGTTTACTCAAATAAAATTTTTTAAATACTTCTTGATACTTTAACATGTCAGGTGGCATCTGTACCTCAACTGGTTGATAAGTTGGCCAATAACCCATGGTCAGTACAGCAACAGACATATCCATATTACCAGGAACTTTCATGTTTTGTAAGTGCTGCTTGAAAGTTCCCATTAGTTCTTTAGATATTTCCATATCTTTAAACATACCCTCTAATTTACTAGTAAAAGCTGCACCACATTCTTGCTTTAATTTAGATAACATTGACTTTTCGGCATCAACAGAAGCACTCTTTCCAACTAATAATCTTTTAGCTAAATCCTTTTTGTAAAATGCTTCAAATACATCTTTCCCATGAATATACCTAAACAAGACCATAATCTTATCAAGAAGTAATTCCAATTCTTCTTCGGTAGCTTCTTTGTTTCCAGCTCGTAATTTTAAATCCAAAAATTTTGCTATCAGCTCAGCTGGTTTATTAGGTCTTTGGTTAACAAAATATTCAAAAGCTTCTTTTAAAGTATTTAAGAATTTGGGATTCTTTTGAAAACAAACATTAACAATTAAATCCATGCGATCTTTAAATTCTAAGAGCTCTTGGACCATGGTTTTATCTTTTTCGGGATTGCTAACAATAACACGACCATGCTTTTTGATATAAAGATTAAAATGAGAACATAGCTGTGGTAAACCATTTTTAGCTCGGGTGAATAAATCATACATCAATTTGAGATCACTAAGTCTATTTTCCTCCAAAAGGTTATCTAAGCCTTTCTGAAGAATAGGAGTTAGATGCTCACCAAGGAGTTGTTTCTCTACACACTGGATCAATGGTTTTTTGGTAGATTGATCAAGATAATGTAAAAGTCTTTCCCATTCTTCATTTAATCTCCTTTCAACATGCTGCACATAATGTGGAACATCTAATTCTTGCATTAGCCGCTGACCTTCAGCAGCATATATTTCTTCAGTATTTTGCAGAAAACGAACTTCAAAAATTTCCTGATATATCTGCAGATCCAGAAACATCCGTAATAAACTTTTAAGTAAACTCTTATCAACAGTTTGCCCATTTCTTTCTTTGTCTATAAGCATCAATAATCCATCTACAGTTCTATTCTGTACAAGTGGATGGGAAACTATATGTATACGAAACATGTCTAAACCCATATCCCATAGAGATGAAATGCCAGGACTTTGCAAAATGTAGGTGCGATCGAGAAAAAGGAAAATACTTCGTATCATTATCATCTGTCTACAATGATCTTGCCAGAATTCATTCATAAGCTTTAAGAAATACACACTGTCCATAGAATCGGGAAGAAATTGATTAACATTCTGTTTAATGTTATTTTCACACAGAGCTCTTAAATTATCATACAAAAAGGCAGCCATGTTGTTGGAACATAAATTTTCAACAGCTTGATAAAGCTCTTCTTGGGATGTACTAATAGGTTTAGAAGTCTGAATTGCTATAACAGCACTTTGTAATTTTTCCCAAGTTTGTTGTTTATAATTTTCTGGAAGTTTGGGTTTTTCAAAGTTCTTTATTACTAATTTCTTTGCTGTACCAGGTTTGCCCAGAAGAGGAGTGGCATAAGGATAATTTGTTACAGATGACAATCCATATTTCTTAGGGCTTACAACATCCATCATTTTTTCCTCTAAATCTCTTTTCATTGATCAATCAATCAGATAAACTGTGAAAAAAAAAATAATTTAGGAAAATATAAATATAATTTTTACATTTATTATCAACTCAAACTGAATTTTAATTCCTAAAATAATAATACAATCACTCAAAATGTCATCTTTTTATAGAATTAAGCCAAAAATTCCAGTGTCCCCAAAAAGTCCTCTAAAAGTTTGATATGCAGGATATAAAATATTATGACTTCTGCAGAGTGGTCCACAAAAATGTAATCGGTATTCCATTATGGTACACTGGAAGCAGGTTACTTTTTCACGGGCCACCCTGTATTTCCATTTACTAACTAAATTAATAATTATATTGAATAAAAGTGATAATGTATGTATAATTCAAAATGGTTCTAGTAAATTAAAAATATTTTTACTTAATAGAAACTGAAGGGGGGGAATTGAAACAGTTTTATGAAGGCGTAAAAATAATAGTTAAAAACAGCTGTTCGTGCTAAAGAAAAGTGTTTAAAAATACATTTATACAAATAAAATATTTTTCACTGACTAATCTTTAAATCATAAATGCAGATTTAAAAACCAAACACCATTACCTGAAATTAAAATCTACATTTATTTCATTTGTAGCTTCTGCTACAAATACTGCATTATTGTATACTTTCTTTCCACAAGTCAATAACCAACTAAAACTATCTTTAAAATTTTTAACATTCACACTGGTTTCTGTCCATTTAACAGCATGCATGTAATACCCATTTCGTTGATTTTCTTGAAATCTAATTTTTCACAGCATGTTTAAATTCTGGCCTATTTTGGCATTTAATCGTTTAAAAGTTCGAAAACAAATAAATGGTATACTTTTTATTTCAATATAGTTTCTAATACATTCTCTTTTCTTTCACTCTCGGATTAGTTTTTTTTATTTATATCAAATTTTTTAAATGTTGCACATAGAAGGTTGATTTAGATATTTGATAAATCTAAATTTAATGAGTATTTGGATAAAATCTTTGAGTTAATTTTATACATCATACTGATTGGTACATTAGAAAATATAATACATTCTGCACAGTAATGTGAATAAGGACCTTAATGAATTTTTTTTACAAAATTTTATAAACATTCTTTAAGGTTCTAATTTTTATCAATAATAATTCATACTTTTGGAAAATAGAAATTTCAATAATTTTGATTTAATATCTAAATAAATATTTCATTATTTACAATAAACGTGGCATTTTTTACACTTCTTCCATATTAAACAAACCTTATATTCCAAATTATGTTGATACATAGATTCTAAAACATGCAGGGTAACACAATATGTGAATATAAATTTAAAATAAGGCAACACAAAGATGATCAGGATAATCTAAAAAAATAATGATACTTTCTTACAGGCTTTGTGAATTAACAAAAAAAATTTTTGGGCTATCTTTACAGCTCGTTAAGTTGTGCTCTATTCATAAATAATAATAAGAAACATTTAATAAAAGACAAGAAATTTTATAAGAGAGGGAAAAAATTCCTATACAGCCAATATTTAAATTTTTAGGTACTTATATATTAGTACAGATGACCTCAGTAAAAGTCTCCAAAATTTTTAGAATTCGTCAAACTCTGGCAACCATGTGTAAAGCAATTTTTACAGTTTCAACAAGTAATGTCCCTACTTGTGTATGCATTCTATTTACTATATTCCAAATCTAGCAGATAGCATAGAGAAATCATAAGACCAGTGTTCAACTCGATCTTAAAATATGTGCTTGTGGCATTTGCCTGCATTTAGATATAATTACAGAAATGTTTCTGCAGAATGCAGTATTTTGCAACAAAAATGCTAAAAGAAACAAATTGCTGTGAATCTATTTTTAAAGTAATCATCATGAGTCCCCAAAACAAAAGAAATTCACTTGTAATTAGGTTTATTATTTTTTGGGATAAATGCTGAATTAAAACATAAACTATGCATGTAATAAATAATATTTTGGAATTACTAAATTGTTAATCTTTTCCTTTTGTAAAAAATTGCTGCACTGTGCAAAGATATAAGGACCCATTTGGACAGCCAGAAGATACATTTAAGTTCATGGCTGTTTGGTTAAATATAAAGCATGTAAATCCATGTGCCCTAAAAAAATATGTGATATATGCATGCATAGGTTGGTTATTGTAAAGTATAGCATTGTTCATCGACATTCAACCAGTGTAATATTAATTTCCTTTTAGTTTTGCTTGAGTGGCAACAACTATAACATTATTATTTTGGTAGAATAAATTTATTTGGTTGTGTTTAAATTTTTGAGAGATTATTTAGGTAGAAATGAGTTGATGAATGGACAAAATGGTGTACATTTACTGTCATATCTAACATCTAATGTTGAATGAATATTCATAAATATACCAAAAAGATCAGAATTCTACTGAATGTTGAAACTGGGAGTGTGGACAGTCAGTAAAATAAAATCTCATATTTATGTCACTTCTAATATTTTGTATCTCAATAATATGTAATACATATATTGATACACCACAAAATGAAAAACAAAAAAATATAGTCTGCCACTGAAATAAAAATACTGGAATCACTAAAATAGCTCTCTGTTAGTCCAGAAGAATTTCCGGATAGACCTTAATTATATATTAGTATGTTTTCTAAAATAAACATAATTTTACAGGCAGAGCATAAACCAGTAGTATATAGCATTAAAAATATTTTGAGTAACTCAGTGGCAACTAGCTGTTTGTTGTACATGACAATAGAAGTACAGAAGTTTATTCTCCCCCCTTTCTTCTCAATTCCAACCCTACACAATAAACATTTATATATAGTAAAATATATCCAGAATACTTGGAAAATGCTGAATATTAAATAAGGGATAATTCCAGATAGTTGAACATATAAAAGGTACAATTTATGGTAGAAAAACCAATTGAATGAAAGAAGAAATTTCTAGTGTAAAATTAGAAAAACAGTCAAATTATTTGTTGTGAATTTGAATAAAGCCTACATTTAAAAGTAATGCTAAGATTTCAGATATAATAATGGTTCTGAACCAGTTTTGGTCCAAGCACCTCTTTCACCACTATTATAGAATACCTTCCCCCCCTTTCCAAATTTTGAAAAATACATGCTTACATTTATTTAAGATTTAGATTATCTTTAAGCATTAAATTAAACAATAAAAGTATAGAAAATATTAATTAATACCAAAACTTGAATAAAAGTAGTTTTATATTCATGAACTAAAATTAAATATTTAACAAGTAAATAGAAGGCTGATCACATTCGCCCACTTGAATAAAAGTAGTTTTATATTCATGAACTAAAATTAAATATTTAACAAGTAAATAAAAGGCTGATTACATTCGCCCCCTGAAACTATGAAATGTCCTCCAAGGCCAATTACCCTTGCTCAGAATCCCTCAGATACAAAATCTGAATAGTTATCTAAAATGCATTTTTTGTTTTAAATTTAGATGATAAAGGTGACATTTTTGCAGGCTTTAAACTTTTGAAAGTAAAATATCTTATCTGATTGTAAAATCCCCTGAACCATGTAATTTGGCAGAGATCCCACCAAACTCGTGCCAATTATTCTGGCAGAAGTTTGATAGAATTGCTCACTATTTATTTACTTAGATAATAAAGACATACAAGTTACATACTATATAATATATATTAAAAAAACTTAATTCATTTGCTACAATTTTTCACAATGTATTGCCACTATTAATTTTCAAATAGAAACACATATCATGCCAATTAATGCACACTTTTCTTAATACCAGGGTTCAGTAATTTCAAAAATATTGCACTCCGTGCTGTTCCATAGAAGAAAGATCTCAAATTTTAATGATTTTTTTCAAAATGCAGAGAAAAAATGATAAATAACAGCTTAAAAAAAGAAAAAAAAGAACTAAACAGGTTTACATAAAAGCAAGGTAAAAATCTTATAGCATGCTGATGCATTATTGAACTAAATCACATCCTTTGTTTGTTCCAAATTGTAGTCCTATATATATATATCATGATGGCTTTATAAATTTCATTTGCTTAATATTTTGTTAAAAAGTTTGTACAATGAAAAAATATTTCTTTTGCTTGAGCTTTCTAATCAGTTGAATAGCCAGGATTTTTTTGCATGTATATGTAATGGGATGCTTTAGGAATAACTGTAACAGACTGGCAACGGTCTTTCTGTTATAACACTTGAAGACAGACACAACCGATTTGCCGTTTGAATTGAGTAAAGATATGGAGCTATAAATTTAAATCCATCTGGATTGGATGCCGCCTTACACTCAGCCACAGCAATGTCCAGAATTCTGATGTGACCAGATTGCCAAGCTTCACTCGTGCATGACTGCCACACTATTACATATATATACATATACAGTACAAAGTCTTTAATCCGGACTCGTCGGGACTTCAGCGATTCCAGATTAGGGGTTTTCCCGGATCACAGATCATCAGTTTAAAATTTAGTAAGATGGCATGTAGAAATTATACAATTAAAAATATGAAACCATAATTTATGAAATAAAGAGAAATTATGATCTAAAAAGTATCAAAATTTACAAAATAAAAGCAGCTTAATATTTATTTGTTTACTTTATTAAACCTTTCTTTCAATGTAAGTTGTTTAAGTTGCTTTATTTTTTGTGCTCATACTTTCTCTTTAATTCTATAAACAGACATAATTTCTTGTTCAGTTACAAAGTTCCACTGTTCAAGTCCTGTAATCGCTGTGTCGAGAATACCGACTAATTTGTCAATGGAAATTTTTTCGTTTCCAATAACCTCTCTGTCACTTTCTTCACTATCGGTAGCGCGCATAAGTAAACGCTTTACGCGCAGCGGACGCGCGCATTAAACGCACCTGCGTGAGTTTGTGGCTTTGAGGTCCGGATTATAGATCATTCTGGATAATGGATGTCCAGATTACGGACTTTGTACTGTATTTCTTTAATCTGATTGGTGAGAACTGCCACACCACAGCTTAATACGACATGAAACACAATAATTTTCAGATGACGC